GGCTCAGCAACTACGACTCCAGGGTCTCTTCGGTTTCCGCCACGTCCACTGGCAAGCGGAGGAGGACTCGCTGGGGAACGGCTCGTAGGAGCAGTGTACAGGCCAATTGTGACCATCTCGTCTGCGGGCCGCCAAAGTCCTTGCCCCAATCCCCTCTTCCCCACATAACCAGTACCCGCACCCCTCGTCCCTCCTTCCGGTCCCTGCCATCTAGGTTTTCTCTATTCCCTCATTCTCTTGCTCATCCAATTCCTGTCTCTTGGTGCCTTTAGGCCCTACCCCCCCTTCTCCCTTCCCTTTCTTTGACGTTTTTTTGTGCTTCCTCAACGCTCCGCCATCTCCTTCACCTGTCCTGTTCATGGAGCTGATGGACGAGAGCCTCACCAGCTTCCTGGAGCGGCCGGCTGACCCTCCCCCTCTCCCTCTCCACGTGCAGGTGGACATTGGCCACGACGTGGCCACAGGCTCTCTCCCACCTCCATCGCACGAGGTGCTGCACCGCGACTCAGCAGCAACAACGTCCTCCTGATCGGCAGCCGGCGAGCCAAGGTGACCGACTTTGGCATGGCCAAGCTGTTGGGCAGCGACCCTCGCCTCACTCCTACCTACTGCCCCGGAACCAATGCCTACATGTCTCCCGAGGCACTGGCAGATCCCCCGACATACAGCGGCAAACTGGACATCTTTTCCTGTGGTGTGCTCTTTGTTCAGCTCATCACTCGCAAATGGCCAAACCCAGGCCCTCGTATGCGTGTCGTGCAAGTAAATGACCCTCGTTTTCCATCAGGACGAGTGCATGTTGAGGTTCCCGAGTTGGAACGTCGTAAGGAACATCTGGATCTCATCTCCCCCACACACCCTCTCCTGGAGGTAGCCCTGGACTGCCTCAAAGACAAGGAAGGTCAGCGACCGACGACTGAGCAGCTATGCTCTCGCCTGATTGCTCTTAAAGAGAGTGCTGCCTACCGAGACAGCCTCCAGCAGACCCCAGAGGAGACGACAGGTCAGGCACCTCCTGCCAGAGACCAGGAACTAGAGCAACAACTGAGGGAGTGTGAGTCGAGAGTTGAAGACCTCACCAGAGAAGTGCAGCAACTGACACTGCAGAGTGAAGAGCAAGCCAGAAGCATACAGCAGAAAGAAGAAGTAATTAGGCAGCTTCAACAACAAAATCAAGCTAGTAGACGAGAGAATGAAGAGGTGGTGGCTGCTCTACAGCAGAAAGATGCAGTGATTCGGGCAAAGGATGAGTTGCTGCAGGAGAAGGAGAGAGAGATACGAGAACTGCAGCAGAGAGTGAGGGAGAGAGAGGGAAGTGATGTGGCCACAGGACCTCTGAAACTAGAGTGGAGGGATGGATCACCAGCTCCGTTTCCAGCCTACGGATATTCAGTAGCAGTCAGTGGAGAGATGGTCTACTGTGCTGATGGTTTTAGTTGTGAAGTGCTGATGTTTAACTCAAGGACATGGCAATGGACAATTCTTCCAGAATGCCCAAAAAGGTTCTTCTCCATAGCAGTAGTGAATGGACAACTGACAGCAATTGGAAGGAAACAATCATACAAAGCTACAAACACTCTTTTCAGTCTCCCACAGGACAGACCAGGCATCTTCCAGCAGAAGTGGATTGAACAATTTCCACCAATGACATACTGTCGCAGTTCCCCAGCAGTCGCTACCACCAACACATCACTGATAGTAGCTGGAGGATGGGGTCTAGACATGCAGAAGGCATCAGTAGAAGTGATGGACATTCAGACACTACAATGGTCCACAGTAGCCAGTCTACCTCTTCCTTTCAATCAGGCCACAGCCACCATCTGTGGGGACAGACTCTATATTGGTGGTGGGTTTAGTACTGATGGGTCAACCAAGTCAGTGGTAATGTGTGAGGTGAAAGACCTCCTCCAGTCACAGCCACAGTCACTAGCCACCAGACCAGGTCTCTCCAGTAGTCCTCCAGTGTGGAAAGAAGTTGCACCACTTCCAGTGTTTGTGTCTTCTCTCGTCACCTTCCAAGGCCAGCTACTGGCAGTAGGAGGATCGACTACAGGGAGAGATGCTGACTCCACATCTGACGTGATGCAATATGATGTAACCACCAACTCTTGGAAAGTAGTCAGTCAGATGAAGGTGAAGAGACGGAGATGTTTTGCAGCAGTTCTCCCTAACAACACACTGATGGTGTGTGGAGGACACACACCAGATCGGACATAGGACATCTATGGAACTAGCTTTAGTTTAATTTTACATTCTGCAGAGCTGTGTAGTCAAGTATCTGGATTGCAGTTTATCACCAAATTCCGTATACGCGTGCGCAGTAAGCAGCGCTATTGCGCGTGCGTAGTAAGTTTTGGTGGGCGGCCCAAGAAAAAGGTGGCGGTGTGAATATGTCGGGCAGGCCGCCGTCGAGGATGACAAAGAGAGACCCATGGGCGAGATTCGAGGCATGGCGCTACCACCCCGAGATTAGCAAGGTCGCCAACATGAGGAGAATGTTCCCCGGGCTGGGGCTAGGCGTGGCCGCGTTCCTGGTCCTCTCGGCCGTGGAGGAGCTCTACTGGAAACCCAGCCACCCCGCCAACAGCGGCGACCATCATCACTAGACACACACTGAGACCCTCTTCATTAGCCATAGCGTGTACGTATCATACGTATAAAGACACCAAGTAAGTTTCATTGGGTCACGTGAGAGCTGCTGTGGGGGCGTGGTCTGTGAATTGTGTTTCATCTCTACACTAGGTATAATACTGGGCCGTTTTCATCAAGACTAGAGCACTTACTGAGCAATGTGGACTGTTAATAATATATTCAATATCTACAGGTATAGTTTGTGGAACTGAAGTCTTGTCTTTTCTCATTCATAAAAAAAGTGTTTGTGTGATAGCTAATTGCAATTCTAGTGTCTTACTAGTAGTGGTGTGCAAAAAATCATAAGACTAAAAAATTAATTAATAAAGGAACATAAAAAATTCTCGTTTTTAAAAAATACTGTCAAAAAGTCCGAAATAATTGTCATATTAAATCTTGCGGTCGTTCCTTGAGCCACTTTGCGATGCGTGGTTGTGATTCGATGCTGTGGTAGAGACGGGCGATGTGGGGGTACCGTACCGGTGCGGTCTCGTCACTACTGACCACGTGGGAGAACAAGTGGTAGACAGCCAAATCTGCATATGTCAGCTGTGAGGAAGTACAGTAACTTTTTTATGTTTGTGCGTACAACATATAAGTTTATTAGTATTTAAGCATGGGCACAAACGGATATATTTTCTTGCGTACAAAGTGTGCAAGCATGGCACATTAGTATGATTAGCTTATTAGACCGAACCGTACGGGTCTATGGCCCGTGCTATGGCAGCACTGAGTTATTATAGTATATATATATGCTTATTAGGATAAGATCACTATTGTAGCTTGGTGTACAAAAAGTACCAAGCTTTTTCAAACTCTGAACAGCCGATTTTTCGACGTATTACGAAGTTTTGCACCAGTGATAAGGGTAAATATATTATACCTTGTGCCAATTTGCACCCAGTGCCACACACACGGTGTTCTTCTAAAGTCACAATCACTAAAATGAGTGTTGTGAGCATTGGCTGCTCATTTTGCACATAATGAGCTGCTATATGATTGTACAGAATCAAACTTTGAAACTCTCTAGTGCATTATGTGTGCACATGTAGCTACATAGGTGCAGACCTTTTGTCCCCAGATCCATCCTTCTTGCTGGCCGTTCTTCTCAATCACAGAGTGACCTGAGAGAATAGTGCTGGGAGATATGTCCCGTAGACTTCCTTACATTTCTCCTCCTGCGAGAGAAAGAGTGTGTATTTAACTTACACTAGCTACAAGTCAAAATTTGATGCAGATTTTTATCTTTGGTTAGATTGAAACTTAGTGTTTGAATGCAGATTTTTGCCTTAGCTCATCTCTGGTAGTAGATCAAACTTAGTGTGGAGACTTTTGTTATGCTATTGAATACTGCGATGGAAGATACGAAATGGTTTACCAAAAGTGAGAGTAGTTTAACCTTTAGCTCTTCGTTCTTCTGTTTGAAGTTGGCCAGTAGTACTGCACACCAGCCGTCAGCCATTGAGTCAACAATACCAGCCAGCTCTGCATTCTCCTCACTCGTCTTCCTGCTAGTCCTGCCAGTACACATGATGGAAGGTCCATGAAAAATTTCCCATTTTACGTTTTACTAGTGCATGTATGAAAATATTTTGGGGCTAAAGAAAAATAACACATGATTTCATTGTTCCTGGTGCATATGCAAAAAAGGTTTTTGTGAGTGGAAACGTGAGCTGCTGAACATCACATGAAGAGAACACATTATGCAACCGCATAATTATGTAGTTGGATGACATGCTGACGTAAAAGAAGAACAGAAAATATGTGACTGTTTGAACCACTAGATTAGCTCGCTCCCACTTGCCAATAATATATGGAGGAAGTTGTTGAATGTACTATATACAAGAATGGGATTGAACAGAATAAACGCTGGCCTCTACTTAGTAATTACACAGTATTGGTGTATTTACACCTCTGGTATATTAAAGAAGAATGTCAGTTTTAGATGTTTGCTCTCTTGAGAAATGAGAGTAGATCACAATTACGCCATTAGTCATTGAACAAACTCGCACACCGCGCTGTGAGTTTCTGCCAGTCTCACTGTTACCGGTTACGTAACGGTGGGTAACAGTGTAAATCGATGCTAATTTGTCAAATAGCGAGATAGAGATGGACCATTCCACCACGGATGCCGTTTAAGGAATTTCCACCACGAGAACCTGAAAGTCTGAGGTGATGTCTTTCTATGTACTTCTCTCCCTGCATTCCTCCACCCACTATATACAGCTACATTAGGAGTATATTATAGTACTTGCTGTAATAGAGAGCTCTCTCTCCCTCCCTTTCTTCCTCCCCTCTGTGGGAGTTCTGTATTCACAACCACTCTCTCTCCTCTTTGAAAGCAGCCGGCAATGAGAACACACACTCACACACATGCACATGCACACACTCATGTCCATATTCATAAACTCACACACACACACACACGCACGCATGCACACACGCACACACTCCTGAGAGAGCTGCATTCCTATCTTGCACACTACACCAACCCACCTACACTACACTTACATAGACCCATAGCACTAATTAGCAGATCCCCGGCATTCCTGTGTCTCCACTGGTCATGCACAGACAGCCAGCTTCTTCCTCCCCTGTTGCCGTGACTACCGAAACAATGGGAGATGGGTAAGAGGGCGTGCCTACAATACTCCATCTCAGAAGGTAGACCGTTGTGCGTCATGCAACATTCATCATTCTTTGGACGAAATTGTGAGCCACTTATTATATAGCTAGTGATTGACGATGGATTAGATTTTGTTGTTCCTTTGATATTAGTCAGGTGCTACGGGCTATCACACAGTGAAGAAGAAAATTCAACTGGAAGTTGTGATTTTGCATTATAGAGAGTATGGATTATTATGCAGTATGCCAAAACACTACTAGTAAGCTATAGTAAAAGTGGCCTTATCTTTCCCTCAACTATGGTATATATAGCAAGCAGAGAAACCGTACCTTATAATAATACGTCGTGCCACTCAGCATTGCATGGCAGCCACACTACCATTTGTTTACATGCCATTCGAGAGTATTTACATGCCTGGCTCCGGGCGGCAGGAGACCTAGAAACCCGATCGAGTGTCTCACGATCTGAACACATCCAAGTACATTCACGCACTGACGCGGGGTATCGCCCCTGCCCTGCCACCACCGTGACCAAATCGAAACGAGGAATTTCGATGCGGAATCATGTCAAAGGGTTTTCTATAATTCCCGAGAGGGTGCCTGAGTCTCTGAGGCCCTGGTATGCACCACGTGATCCCATTATCCGTAACACGACAAATCGAAAAGGAGTAAGAGTATTCTCAGTTTTGGGATTTTTGGAACTCCCCTAAGATATTTAGTATCGTGTGGGTTGGTTATACCTGACGGTCGCTGATGGGTCCTGACTGCAGGCGCGCGAGGAATTTTTAGCAACCTCACAATATCTCGAATCTTTACCACACATTAATGGTCAGCAGGCCCAAACACCATTACATATGGTTGGTTTCCCCGTACATACACGGTCTGCTAATTCCGTGAGGAAGTGGGTAAAGTTTCGTGGCCGATGGAGGAAAGAGTGCTGCCATAGAAACTATACCCCCAGGGTTTTGAAAGGTAACCACCGCATGCCTCAGGCACACTGCGTGGAAAGTTGCTAATAAGTGTGCATGCCTTTGCAATCATTTTAGCTAACCTGCTGACCACTTTATTTCATGACTGAGCATGGGACGGATTGGGCCCACTCACTCGAGTAATTGTTGTCAGCTCTATGCGTTCTTACCTGACCAGGGACGCACAAAACTTAACCAATAATATCAAGATGCACCATGGAATAAGTTGTATGTAGCTGTGCCAGTTGTCTAACAAGCAGTTGTTAAATGTTATTATTCCGTGATAGCTCGATTACTCGATTGATATAGCATTATATGCATTATAATATGTAACACGCTATGTCGAAGTGTTTTGATGAAGGAACCGTCTTAGTGGCATTTTAATTGGACACCTGCTCAACTAAGTGTAGTACAGTGAAACTTCTTAGTAAGGGACGCCTTGGTGACATTGAAGGTGTCCTTTAATCGGAGCTGTCCCTTATTCAGAACACTAATGTATTAGTATAGGCAGAACCAACAGAAAAGTGTCCTTTATTCAGAGATGTCCCTTTTTTCAAAATACACTAATGTATTAGTATGGGGCAGAACCAAAATGTCCTTTATAGAGAGGCATTCCTCATTCCTTTATTCGGAGGGTCCTTGTTCGGAGGTATCGCTGTGTTGCAAACACAGATTGGATTGAGTTCTGTTCTCTCAAAGGAAATGGCTGAGTTGGATAATTCAGTGTTTGGTCTTTGTTTGCTAAACCAGGCCCTCCAGCCAACACACTGGCTCCTTTCAACTCAACTCTTACAAACTCGGATGGAATTTTGATCACATCCTAGCTGTAGTTATCTAATGCATCTCTCTCTCGGTCTATGTCACGACCCATATAAATGTCCGCAGGCAATGCTTTATATGAGTATGAAAACATACGAGTGCCAATCCAAGCACTACACGGTGCATACCTAACCAGCTATCAATCCTATGAACATTTTCTAGAGCATGGAGCGATTTCCTCAACCCCTATACACTCCGTATTGCTATTGGTATGTACTACCAACAGAGCAGACCTCTTACTCATAGGTGTGTGTGTTGTGTGTTCTGAGCTCAAGCTAAGCCCTATAGTGCGCGGTACAACTGCAGGACGTGTATGCAGTCGCGGAGTGGGTGGCAAGTCAGGCCCTCCATTGTATCCGTGCTACACTCCAGTAGCCTCTGTGTCTACGTCTAGTCAAAAAACTACGACTAGTGACTAGTGACTAGTGGAATGTATCTCTCTGTCTTTATCAGCACTTCCTAAGTATCTAGCTGGAGACTACTGCGTGACTTACACACCCCCACAAACCTACAGCTAGAGAACTGTCACTCACGTTTCTATAGTACTAATGGATTTTTCTTCTTTGGAGTAGTACAACATTACATATCCAAGGCTGAGCAGGCTGAGACTGCAATCTCTGAACAATGTAAAGTTGTGTCCTCCTTTGCACACGCTGTCTTTCCTGCTTATGCATTGACCTTTCACACCACATGTACTTTGTAATGCATCGTTGCTATATAGCTTGATACCCAACTTTGAACTAAGAATGTAGCTAGTTGAGTATGAAGCTCATAATTATAGAAGCCCCCATGTGAGCGATATATACTTCAAAGTGAGACCGAGAGTGAGATATATCCGTAACAAGCAGCCGTGTGTAATCTGCTGTCTAAGGAACTCAAAACATCGCTTAATTAATTGAAGTGTAGAAATCGAGAAATTGGGTTGAAATTGGGCTCATTAAGGAATCCTCATTTGCCATCCCGATGTTCTATCGTTGATTAATAACTCAACTTTCATGAGTGGATGTATATATAGGCCTGATTTGGCAGGAAATTCGTGCTAATTTCAAGAGCTCACCAAATTTCTCTGCAAGGTAGCGAGAAATGCATACATGTCCCGAGAGTGTTTTTCCATCAACTTCCAGAATGGGGAGAGTTTGGCCAACGGTTGGTAGAGCTAGAGAGAGAGCAAGAGGAGGACAAGGGGAGAAGGAAGAGAGAGATAAAGGAAAGAGGGAAAGGATGTGGAGGAGAGGCGAAGGGAGCAAAGGAGGGATAAGAGAACTGCATTCATGGCTCTGAGCACACTACCGGCACCATCTGTGCACATGTAATGCATGATACATACGGAAAGCAATTAGTAACTTGCACTCCCTATGCTTTCCCAGGAGCCAACTTTTGGAAGAGTCAAAGAAAGATTAGAGCTCTCAAAGAAGAACACGTTGAGAACAGTATAGCTGTAGCATTATTGCATGGTGGTACTTTGCAGCAAATTGCGTGTTAGTCAAAAACTTACTCTTCTTCATGGAGGACCACTCAGCAGAGCCAAAAGGGAAAAATCCGAGCCTGTTGTTTTCGTACTCGACACCTGCCTGGACGAAAACGAGCCGAACCAGTTCTCCGAGAGCCTTGCACGGGAAATAGGTCAGCTTGTACGTGGCCATTGTCGGTGCAGATCTTTGCAAGCTGGCTTTAGTCTCCAGGAATCCTATAAGCTGTGTGACTAACTAAGCCTCCTGCAGCGCCACTTTTCTAGCTGAGCTACTCTAGCTAGCTACGTGGCGTGGGCGTACGAGCTGGTCGTATTGCGCATGCGCATAACGCGAGCCAAGCCGCACCCTCGATCTTTGCGTGCAGCTCACGCACTCTATAATGGCGACCTCTGACTTGCTCTTTCTTCTTCTGTTCGCTGCTCTGACCCTGGATCTGCGTACCGCAGGGTCGTCGTGTCCAGCTCACTCGGAAGACGGTGGCCGCGGAGGGATAAACGTCCGCCCGGACGGCGAGCCAGCGAGCGAGTTTCCCTGCACCGAGGCAACGTGGAACCGGGAAGAGTTGCGAGAAGAAATAAGGTACATCCTCAAAACCAAGGAAAAGAAGTTTATACGGTTCAGAGCTCCGGTGAACAACTACGCGCATCCACGACTCGACTTCGCAACCAACAACGCACGCAAGAGGAACGGAACCGAGCTCATTACGTGGATTTGGGTTGCTGGTAAGTTCGGCTATCTGCTCTACTACCCGCAGAATTTCCAGACGCTTTCCCTGGGCACTACTGACGTCGTAGCCGAAAACATGGAGGAGGACGAGATACGCGTAAACTGTAACGGTTGCGGAGAAGGCGTCGCGTGCGGTGTGGGTTTCTACGAGCTAATGGAAGTGATAGAGTCAGAGGCAAAGTCCCACGGAGTGGAATGGGATCACTTGTGTGTGGAGGCAGACAATGGAGTGTTGGATATCGTCAGACCCTATCCCCTGGAACAGGATCTGGCTATGCTCAACACCAGAAACTTTGCCCTCCCAGATATCCTCTACCAGTCTCGCTTTCTCAAGTTCTTCTTTTCTCGCTGCTCTCTTCTCTCGCTTGCATGCAAAAATGTGACAAACTACTTTTGCTATCGTAGCGATGGTAGCTGCTCAATTAAAGAGCTTCTAAGTCACTACCCAAAGATCATCTACCTCTCAGTTTTGCTCTGGATGTTCATTCCTCTCCTGGTTATCTACCTTCCGAGCTCGAAACCAGTCCACTCTGTGACTCACATCCCTGACATGTTCCCCACTCACAAGGTCCCGGTGTATCTGGGCCGCTACATCAAGAACTGTCTTTGTTACCATACCACTGTAGCTCACGATAACGGACCGATGCTTATCCGATTACGAAGAGCACTAGGTTTTTTCCTACTTTCCGCTCTGTCGTTTCGTTTCCTGTTCTTGCCTGCCTACCAACCATTTTCGTTCATAGTGTTTGCACTGTTTTTGACTGCCGTCAGTTGGCCCCAACACCTCAGTGTGTACATCAGACCTGAAGTTCCAGTCTATTTCCCTCTCTTCATGGAACCCTATCCAGATGGCATGGTGAGACTGCGCGGAAGTCGACAGAATAGCATCGAGTACCAGCGATTGGCCTACGTCATGTTAGAGAGAATGTACCTCCCTTTCGACCGCAAGTTTTGGGGCCATGTCTGCAAAAACAGTTTCAAAGGTTTCCACATGTGCTTCAACCAGCAAGCACCAGTGTTCTTTCCCATCTGGCTCTGCGGGGTTATTATCAATATTTTGGTGGGGATTATCACCGTATCTCTGTCTGTTTTGATAGTGTTGACATACTTTATCGTCCCACTCCCATACTTTGCTAAGGAGCTTTTCCTGGCGGTTAAATCTGGGGTTTACCAACACTCCCATCTTGTCTGGACTTCCCAAAACAGCCCGACCATATTGAAACTCTTTCAAACTCTTGTGAGTTTTATTCATGGCTCGGTACTCAGTATTCTTCTTCTCTACCTTATCCTCACCCTCTTTAGCCTCTGTTTTCTACTGACTGAGGTCACCATCTTTACCTACCTCGGTGCCAGCATTGCAGCCGACATTGTTTTCCACTACATTGTTCTGTTGGTTGCCTTTGTCTCCACTGTCTATGCAATAGTCCACTCCATTCACAAGCAATACTCTAGCATTCTCAAAGACGTCGTCCAAATCATGGAAAATGATTCCGAGATTGGGTATATCAAATCCCAGATCCAAATACGAAGAATGAGGATTTCGCTACACAAGACTGCACGATACGGTGTACAGTTGATAGGAAATCAACCTACTCAATACAGAGAGAATCTCTATGTCCATAGAGACCTGGTAAACTACATGAGCACTAGACTCTATTTCTCGATAGCAGAGAGCGTGCGACCGATCCGCAGACAAGTCCCCCTGGTGTTTGTCAAGCTATTACTCATGCTGTTTTTCATCGGTCTGTCCATGTGGACAAAGAACGTGTACAAGAACGAGAGTATCGTGTCAGACGTTTTCTCGGTTGCTGAAAAGATGGCTGTATTGTTCATTCCGGCAGTTCTAGAGTGGTTCTCCAGCCATGGGCAGTTTGGACGGGGAAACGAGGCTCAACAGAGGATTGATATCGTTCGTGCCGTGGTGGACTATGCCCAGAGACAGTCAGATTCCATATAATTTACCACTAGGTTTGTAAAAACACAGCAGTTCGGCAATGTTTTGTAGAAAGTTCATTCAGTTTCACTTCGTTTTTGATGGGTTCAATTTTCGCGCGCAAGTTATACGCATGCGCAAGTTGTGCAATAATCGTCGCGCATAGTTGACGCGACAGCCCGTATCCACGTATATAGAACTCTGCGTCACTGCCTCCTTATGTCGTCCCTGTCACCAGTGAGAATTTGACAGCACCGTCCAAGACTGTGTATAGTAACTTACAGGTTAGTATACGTAGCAAACTCTTTTCATGTGTTTAGCTCTGTAGCTCTAGCTAGCTAAAATATGCAAAGCTACTTGAAGATGCCCACAGTAGCTAGTTTTATCGAGCCATAACGATGACAGAGTGACAGGTACATATTTGGTAATTATCAGCAATGATAAATGTTTGCTCCCTACTGCAGAGCTAATGGTGATGATGATGGTAAACTACCTGCGGTGTGCCACGCTGCTGTCATTGCTGCAGCTAATTGCAGGGGTTCCCATCATTCCGGGGGAAGGGGGAGTGGTTACATCTCCTCCTGACTCGGTCAGCCAGCAGTCCAAACCATCATCATCTGTCCCTCCACCAACCGAGGCTGACTTGACTTACAACAATGACGACTATGATTATGAAGAAGACATCATTGATGAAGGTATAATTATAGCTATACATACAAACACCGATTTCATGGTAGAGATTGACATGTATAGCTATTGTGTTATGATTTGTTGACTGATGTTGTGTGTAAGACAGAGCACTCTAACAGTCAAACTGAGGCATGTAATAATGAATGAAGCAATAGCACTTTATGCAGCATCATACATACACTGAAGCTGTACGAGACCCTGTCAAGCTGCACCAACCTATGTTGGTCTTCAGTGTTACTCCCCCCTATCTTCATAATTGTTGTCCTCGTATCGTGTTTTGCACTGCGGTGCATCGTAGAGCTTCATTCACTGAAACACTGTCATTGCTCTCACGTATTCGGAATAGTCACACCATTTAGTGTCAGTGTGTGGAATTTGAAAGTACTTCTCTTGTCTTCCCTAGCCAGCCAGCTAGCTAATAATTCGTTAGGAAGCATCTGCCCAATCTATGTCACTTGTATATACCAAGTAGACCGATGTGGTTCTCTTTCTTCTTTAAACCCTTAAAGCATCCAAAGTGCTTAATCTATCTGCACTGCACTCAACCTTCCCTCTCTCCCTCCCTTCTCTCTTCCTCCTCTTCCACCTTCCCCCCATATCACAATCAGACACGCCCCCTCCGGCCCACCCACCCATATCGGACCACCTCCCTCGGTTCATAGTGTCGCTCCCTGACACAAACCTGCTCTGTTTCAGTATCGAGGGCTTCGAACTATTCACCTATAACCTCCTCTCCACCCCTCAACTCCACGTGAACAGCTTCCTCAACATCACGAGGACCTCGGAGGGAGAGTGGGTGAGGGGAGGGACGGATCTCGGGTTTCTGATGAAGATCAGGGACGAGAGAGTAAAGAACGGTCAGAGGGTGTTCAAGATAAAGGTCTACGGGGCAGACAAGAAGGCAGACATTGCTGGGTTTGGCCAGGTCGACATGGAAGGTCAGTTGGCAGCAGTGCGCAGACTTCAAGAAATTGTCGAATGTGCCACACGCACACACACACACACACACACACACACACTGATTAAGCAGATGTGTGGATGTTTTGCATAATCTAAGACCTACTAAACCAAAAAGCAAGCTCGAAAATCATGAACGAAGAAGCTTTTAACAACGCACTTTTATACTCTCATAGAAATGTATAGTAGCTATATATGGGACCGGAACTATGCCTTATGGGCTTTGAATGAAAATGAAACTGCCATTATGATTATGCTGGCTGGGAGAGATTCGTATGAGCATGATATGTGACTATATTCTTTAGGCAAATTTGGTTCATGTTTAGCTATAGATTTTGATATGACATCTTTAAGCCTGAGAAAATATTTCTGTGTTTTAAAAAATTGGCTATAATATTATACCTCCGTCTGCATATCTCCACAGGAGGTAAAGTAGAGTTTAGTGTGGACAGAGATGGTCACTCCAACATAGAGAGCTCCGAGTCCCCTAACGAGCAGATCACCATTACCATGGAGACCCCACTGGTGAAGGTGTGGGGAGTCAGCAGAGACAGAGTCACGTACAATGTCTACATCACGGAGAGCTCCGGACTCATCGACATCCCTACCCACGGCATCCTCGGTGGGTTTCTGGCTTTGCTATGTCAACTTGCTGAATTACTCAACCAAAGTATTCACGTCGAATTGGGCCTGAATGCTCCACGATTATGTTTCGAGCCTTGAGAAATAACAGAAAAGGCAGTGCTGAATTCAGTGCTGAATTGGGCTCAAAATCCTACGACACAGAGTAGTACAGTGGAACCTCTGATAAGGGACCCTCCGAGATAGGGACGACCTCTCTATATACAAAGGACACTTGTTTCACCCCATGCTAATACTTTAGTGTAATATTTGACCTCCGAGATAGGGACAACCTCTCTACAAGAGACAAAATCGTTGGTCCCTTGTCCCTTGTTCTGAGGTTCCAATTCAGTCACTAGGTATTTGGTAGAGAGCTCTGTCTTGAATGCTGACTGCTCTGTGTGTTGTAAATTAACACCAGGCCAGTTCCTGAGACCTGGAGTGGGGATTGACGTGGAATCGGGACAGCTAGCTCTCGGCCCAGACCGAGACCCCATTCCAGTCCAACCGGCACCGGTATGGGACAGCGTTCAGGACGAGGGCTATCAGGACAGGCAGTGCTGGTACCCCGTGGATCAGGACACTGTCAGCATATTGGAGGGGCAGCCCTATGATTACGTCACTGAGCATCTTTTGGCTCACAAGTACTTGTATTCTCAGTTTAACCCCAAATCCTCGCTCTAACACATTTTCTCATCTTTTTTCATCTTGTTCATGTTCTCAATTATTGTGCCACTTTCACAGCACACTGTTTTTCAAAACAATTGGTGTGGTGGTGGTTTGTTGGTATAATTATATTCTGGTTTGTTAATAGCAGTGTAAAATCCTCGGGCACTACGTCATAACCGTGCCAACATATCCCAATTAGCACTAGGGCCCAGGCAAAAACAAAGCCCGACAGACGACTATTATTCAACCATTGCAAAATTCTGCAGCTCTGTTTATTGCGTTTTGCACGCTTGTTGTGCGTTTTGGCAAAATATAAAAATGGTAACCACAAAAAGAAGCACCTCACATAAAAATAATGATGCGCTATTTTGGTGAGTCTGACATAAAACAGTGTGTGAGGAGTTTCATTTGATACCTATGACATGGAATGAATCTGAAACAGTAGCAGGTGTTGTGCTAGGGTCCGAGGCCACAGTTTGAAGCTTGGTCACGCAGCAACTGAACTGCGAAATCGTACAACTCGACATCAGCTGAATTAGCGCTGGCTATTTCCCGTCTCTCCTCCTCGCTCAGACTCGGCCTTCTCTCGTTTTTATTCAGTGCCGAAAGAGTTAAAACATCGGTGTTACCGGTCTCGAAATACTGCGGGAGGACACGTCTCATCAACTTTATACTCAACTCCATTTCTTCCACAATGCCGACGACTGAAATTACTCACGAGGTTTTTCTTTGCCGTTTCGAGAGCCCGTGTGTCGCCGTTTTTACACCGGTAGTCGTGACCACAAAAGTACTTTGTCACCAAGTTGTGCGTGCAGCCCATCGTGTTCCTTTTGGACACAAGTTGACAGTGATTCTTCCTTGTTCTGTTCGTTCAGAATATCCTGAATATGCTTCTTTGAGCTGAAATGGTAGTAGAGATATGACGATACGACCCTATCGATCGGGTCACGCATAATCGTCACGTAAGTAAAGTTTTCAATGTCGTATTTCGCAAAATCGACGAAATAAAAGTGACGGGCGTAGACAAGATTTCTCTTGAGTAACCTGCTATGGAGATTTGTTGCGCAACACTGATTGTTTCGTCTTTGTTCCAGTTATATGCGCCACTGGGGTTAAACTCCAGGTAAAAGTTTAATTGTTTTGAGAGTTTCTGAAGAAGGTCCACGAACGAAGTGCTGGCACACTTTGGGAGGCGAATGAAGAGCAAGATCTTGACGTGTGAGTGTGGGGAGCAGTTGAGGTGGCGGTCCACGGCTGGCTGGGAGGGGAGGGAAGGGGAGTCGGAGGAGCTACTAGAGTGAGGGACGTGTTTGCCTGGAGCTGGAATTTCTTGTCGGCTCTCATCTTGCGAGAAATGCAACTGAAAGAACACAAAGAATGGCGGAATTTTCGATTACTAACAGTTCTGATTCAATATAAAAAGAAATGTAAGATGAAAATTTCTGGTCTAGTTGTGGTGCTGTTGTTAAAAAATTTAGCTATACACATTGCAGGCTCTTGTTCAGTATTATACAAACCAACTATGTCCGATGGGGCCACTGCGGCTACGAACTTCTACCTTTCCTTGAGTCTCTAAGGGTATATCTGCAGCCATTTCGTCGCCGTGCACTAGCCCTGCTCGAAACAGGATCATCTTGTTGACTCCCAGGGAACCCGTGACTACCAGCAGGACGGCCACCGAGACCGTGCAGAGGACGCAGTAGTAGCAACATCTCCTGCACCGCGTACACAGCCACCTAGTGTTGTTGCACACGCCGGCTAAAAGTACCTGTATACAGTACAGACGACGCTAACCTCCATTTCACCATTCTCTGTGGAGCTCGGCTCGAGTCGGCACGCCTCGCCTTTTCCTGGGTGTGACGCAATCATCTATTGCGCATGCGCTAACAATTTTGTGCGCAATCGACGCCGCGCAAAAGGCTCGGCTGGATTTTCTTCTAGCTAGCTACCTCCTTCAGCGGATAAAGTAAGTCACTGTAAGTATTTACATACTTATAATGATATGGTGGCTATAGACTGTGAACGACTCCGCGACTACTTATGCATGCTTTTCTTAGTTAGATACTTAGCATCGGACTTCGTTCTTTGTTTTATTGTCTATACTAACCTGGACACGTTTACCTTTCCATTGCCGAAATCCCAGTGTTTGAACGGTAAAAAAAATAATTATAGCTGCAGTTGTAGCGAAACTATCGTAGAAGCATTCAAAGATGTATGTAGCTAGCTATGTCGCCATGTCTATACTACGTATATACGCGGTGTTTGTTTACACGGTATAGCGACCTGTGTGTGGGGAGATATGTCGTGGGTGATGTCCTCTTCGTAGTAGGCAGAGGGCATGTGTTTTGCTGTGGGCAATTGAACAGTAATGGACCGAGTAGACAGACGGTCGAGTACATACGTATACCTACCAACCTGCAGATGAACCTTTGCTTGAGAAAATGTGTCAGATTTGCTTGATTTGGAGTATTTTTGCTTGAAAATGCTGTGTGTCCATTCAAAATGTATAGGCACGATGATCTCAGGTTAGCACAAAAAAAGAGGGATTTGGCGATTTTCTGGAGGGATATATAGGCAGCTTGATTATCAAGCAAAAAGCTGGATGGTTGGTAGGTATGCCGGAGTATATATATAGCTACGTTGGACTCTACATCCATAAACCTTTGCTCCACAATCATTCTCGACCTTTCTGGGCACGATTTTGTGTGCTTTGCTATTTTATAGTACAAACATACACTCTTGTATAATTATGCATGTAGAAAAAAAACATGTGATGCCAAGAGAAAAAAGATGTGGAGCTCTGGACAGCTGTTTCGGGCTTGTTGGCCCTCATCAGCAGAGCATACCACAACTTCTTCTCTCTCTGGTATCATGAGTTTATAAAGGCTGACATGAGCGCAGCACTTGTGGTTCTGAACTATGTACAGGCAAACTAATGCAACAAAGGTTGCAATGGATACTCCCTCCCATGGGTATTCAAGGTTAATCAACTCAATTTTAGTGAGTGTGAGTTTACTATAGCATCGTCAGAATTCCTTAACAAATCTCTAGTACATTGGGAAATGGAGTAGCTATATGATCCCCATTCTAAGCTGAACTGTATGTTATTGTCACAGCTATAATATTAGCCAAAACTGTAAACCTGCAACCAACCCCAATGCAGTTTTGACTTTGACTGCGAAACACTGCTATTATTATGTGAACACAGGTAGCCAATTAATGGCAGGAGTGATAGAAAGAATGACGTTTCGGCTGCTGATTGTTTTGTTAACTCTTTCACCAACATCTCTTCTGGCAACCGACTCTTCTTCATTGGCCGAGATTACTTCAAGTCCTTCTCTGTCTGCAATTAACCCATCCATGACAAACACCTTTAACTCCTCTCTGACAAGCAGTATTAACCCCTCTGTGGCTAACGTTAACACCTCAGTGACTGATACGTACATGCTTCAAGCACGTATGAAAAAACGATGCCATCACTAATCCTTGCCACTTTCTCGTCTCTATCACCTGCTGTCAGTACAACAATACATCCACTACCAACTACATCTCTCATTAGGATGCAGCCTTCACCTACTGATAAGGTTAGTGCAATCAATGTGTGCATCTGTGTACATTACTTAATGACGAAGCTATTCTCTTGTTCCTTGGCATAGTACTGAGAATTAAGCCAAAAAATGTTGTCATTTGTTGGAGCTAACAAACTATAATTTTACTGGTTAGGGAATACTACTTTTTTAATTACATTTTACATTGCTTCTTCTTTTTTTACTCCAGCCAACACCAAGCACATCCTCTCTCCCCCTCTCTCTGGGGGCAATAATTGGAATAGCATCGGGCGGAGTGTGTGGCTTCCTCACATTCATATCCTGTCTGTTTTGCTGCTGGTACCAATGTTGCCGCTCGACTGGCCACCACTACACCTACACCACCGGGGCAGCAACAGAGTTCAAGATCACTGCGCAGTATTGGGTACAGGGGTCGGCCCAGTACAGAGTCCGCAACACTAGGAGAGACTCTCTGAGTAGCCTGTCTCGAATGTCTAGCCTCAGTCGCTCCAGAATGTCCAGTCTGAGGAGCTCTTTCGGGACGAGGGGGAAAGGGAGGGATGTGGGAGACAGTGAGACTTATGAGAACCAAGCCACACAGCCAGCTGACTTCTTCAGCACTCCTGTATAGCTCACACATTTTTCATCTGGTGCATACACACTTATATACTTATAGTCCACCCAAAATTATAAATTCTTTCTAGTAAAAAATACATTGGTACAGCAATGCAATGGATATATACAGGGATTGAAGCCATATTACTAAAACAACATTTTGTACGCATGTACGCATGCATACACAATAGTCAAAATCATAATTATAATGACAGTAGGGATTGGAGCCACAATATTCAAAAATAAGCTACTTCAACAGAAGCTGTATGTACAATTAGTGTGTCTCCTCCACACACCATCAGTGTGTTGTTAGGAAGAACTGCTGCAAATGATCTATATCGCTTCACCTTCATCTGGCTGATTACTTCCCAAGAGTTGGTGGTTGCATCGTATTGCATCACGTCAGATGTGGAGTCAGCATCTCTCTCTGTAGTCGATCCTCCTACTGCCAGTAGCTGGCTTTGGAAGGTGACGAGAGAAGAGAACACCACTGGAAGTGGACCAACTTCTTTCCACACTGGAGGACTACGGAAGAGACCTAGTCTGGTGACTAGTGACTGTGGCTGTGACTGTGACTGGAGGAGGTCTTTCACCTCACACATTACCACTGACTTGGTTGACCCACCAGTACTAAACCCACCACCAATATAGAGTCTGTCCCCACAGATGGTGGCTGTTGCCTGACAGAGAGGATAAGGTAGACGGGCTACTGTGGACCATTGTAGTGTCTGAATGTCCATCACTTCTATTGGTGCCTTCTTCTCATCTGGACCCGCTCCTCCAGCTACTATCAGTGATGTGTTAGTGGTAGTGACTGCAGGGTTATTGCGACAGTATGTCATTGGTGGAAATTGTTCAATCCACTTCTGTTGGAAGATGCCTGGTCTGTCCTGTGGGAGAATGAGAAGAGTGTTTGTGGCTTTGTCTGATTGTTTCCCTCCAATTCCTGTCAGTTGTCCATTCACTACTGCTATGGAGAAGGACTTTCTGGGGCATTCTGGAAGAACTGTCCATTGCCCTGCCCTCGAGTTGAACATCAACACTTTGTGGCTGCCAAAATTCCCATCAGCACAGTAGACCATCTCTCTGCTGACTGCTACTGAATATCCATAGGGTTGCAAATGGAGCTGGTGGTCCATCCCTCCACTCCAGTTTCAGAGGTCCTGTGGCCACACCACTTCCCTCCCTCTCCCTCACTCTCTGCTGCAGTTCTCGTATCTCTCTTTCCTTCTCCTGCAGCAACTCATCCTTTGCCCCCTCCCTCCCCAGAATCACTGCATCTTTCTGCTCCACACTCTGTTGTAGAGCAGCCACCACCTCTTCATTCTCTCGTCTACTGAATTGAAGTTGTCGATCTTTCTGTTGAACTAGTCTCTCTTTCCGTTGTATGCTTCTGGCTTTCTCTTCATTCTGCAGTGTCAGCTGATGCACTTCTCTGGTGAGGTCTTCAACTCTCGACTCACACTCCCTCAGTTGTTGCTCTAGTTCCTGGTCTCTGGCAGGAGGTGCCTGACCTGTCGTCTCCTCTGGGGTCTGATGGAGGCTGTCTCGGTAGACAGCACTCTCTTTCAGAGCAATCAGGCGAGAGCACAGCTGCTCGGCCGTCGGTCGCTGACCTTCCTTGTCTTTGAGGCAGTCCAGGGCTACCTCCAGGAGAGGGTGTGTGGGGGAGATGAGATCCAGGTGCTCCTTACGACGTTCCAATTCAGGAGTCAATACATGCACTTGTCCTGATGGGAAGCGAGGGTCGTTGCCAACTTGCACAACATGCATACGAGGGCCTGGGTTGGGCCACTTGCGAGTGATGAGCTGAACAAAGAGCACACCACAGGAAAAGACGTCCAGTTTGCCGGTGTATGTCGGAGGATCTGCCAGTGCCTCGGGAGACATGTAGGCATTGGTTCCGGGGCAGTAGGTGTGAGTGAGGCGAGGGTCGCTGCCCAGCAGCTTGGCCATGCCAAAGTCGGTCACCTTGGCTCGCCGGCTGCCGATGAGGAGAACATTGTTACTGCTGAGGTCGCGGTGCAGCACCTCGTGGCGATGGAGGTGGGAGAGAGCCTGTGCACGTCGTGGCCATGTCTCACTGCACGTGGAGAGGGAGAGGGGGAGGGTCCGCCGGCCGCTCCAGGAAGCTGTCAGGCTATCGTCATCAGCTCCATGAACAGACGGGCATTCGAGTCTCGGGGTCCGCACACGAGCCCAGGTACTGGATGACGTTGGGGTGCTCAGCCGCTCAGGAAGTCGATCTCTCGCTGGAAGCGCTCCACGATGCGGTAGGCGGCCGGGGTCCCTGGTCTGGAAGAGGATGGGGTGCAGGACTTTGGCGGCGCAGACGGCTGGTCACACTTGCCCTGTACACTGTCCGTACGAGCCGTTCCCCAGCGAGTTCTCCTCGACTGACCAGTCGGACGTTG